GGGTGGGGTGGGGGGGGCCTCTGGGACAACCTGGCGGCACACGTCGTGCCTCGGTGCTGTGCGGGGAATGAAAGCAGTATTATTGCAAGACCATCCAAATTTTCTAGAAAGCCTAGAAATCCAGATTTTTCCATGTAAAACCTCCTAAATTTTAAATGTGGATGTCTTGTTTTTTAGAAATGCTGAGTGAGCTGAACAACACCCATCAAGTTTCCAAACTCAGTCCACGGGCCCCACTTTGCAATGCTCGACTCCGACGTTCACCCACCTGTAGGACTTCACCACAAACTCTGCACCGAAACACCTCCCTGTGCTCTGTTCAGAGTCGGGTAACGGTAGCGCTGGAAATGCATCACCCCGGCTCTCACCTCCGTGCCTTCAGGAACTGGCTCCCCAGCCCGGCCTTCAGTCACCTGTTGACAAGCCCCTCCTGGCCCCTCCCCCCCTTTTAACTTCTTGCCAGATTCAGCTGTAACCAGGTTGAGCGGACAGGAGCTCAAAGGACGAAAGTATCCAACTGCAAAGGAGACATCAACACGGAATTGCCAAATAGTGATATAAGCAATGGCCCAGCCTCCCTTGCAGAGGCAGCGCTTTGGCTATGAATCCCGTCCCCTTTGCTCTCTGTAAGTAAATAAAACTCCAAGCCACAACAGTGTCTCCTTCTGGAATAGAGAACCCCAAGAGGCGAACCCCTTGAGTGCGGTAGCACCAACGCATAGTCATATTTCATGATTCAACTCCAGGGCCTTTCCTCAAGGCATCCCTCACCCCCGCCCAGGCCATACTCACCACACTGTCCCGTGTCCTCCATTCCCTGAACTCTATGCAACTTCCCAATTACACCTGTAATGTTTTGTTCTTTTTTATTTACCTGACCCCCTCCCCTAAAATATTCTAAGCTCCCCCAAAGCGGGGACAGTATCTCACCAATCTCTGTATTCTCAGGCCCTAATGCAGTGCCTGGTGCATCCTCAGCATTAGCACATGTGATACTATGTTCCTAGTGCTGCACGAGTATGAACTTGAACTTTCACACCAACCCTACACTCTCGTCCTCATTTCACAGATGCAGAAACTGTAGCAGCATGTAACACGATTCAGCACCAAACAGAAGTCAGAGCCCATGCTTCTACGCCACATTTCCTCCATATGGAGCTGTGTTATTGTCCCAGTGGTACGCCACCAACTTTCTTTTTAAAAAAAAAAATATATTTTATTGATTTTTTACAGAGAGGAAGGGAGAGGGATAGAGAGTTAGAAACATCGATGAGAGAGAAACATCGATCAGCTGCCTCCTGCACACTCCCTACTGGGGATGTGCCCACAACCAAGGTACATGCCCTTGACCGGAATCGAACCTGGGACCCTTCAGTCTGCTGGCCGACGCTCTATCCACTGAGCCAAACCTGTTAGGGCACCACCAACTTTCTTGTCTTCTCTCATTCTCCCAACATATCCTCTGACAAAACAGGCTGGACAGGAAAGGATGGACATTCCAGAGCGAGCTAAGCTTGCCAGCAAGGACCAGATAAGAAACCCAAGGACTTCAGCTAAGAAAGGGGCTTGCACTAAAAAGATCCAGGATGGCACCCCAAACCCTTTCCCGAGTGACCTTTGAGGAACTTCCACTCACGAGCCTGCTAAAGATCATGCCCAGTGGAGACTTAACATTAAAATGAGACATGCGATGTATGGCCAGGCATGTTCCAAGCATGTTTAGGAACTGTGCATGTTCCCCACAATGCAAAGTCTCCACTTTTTTCTTGGAAATCCATACTCCTGAACCCACAGACCTCCCACCAATCCTTGAGGACTTCTGATTTTCTCAGACCGGGGTGAAGGTACCTGTAGAGCAGCGGTTCTCAACCTGTGGGTCGCGACCCCTTTGGGGGTCGAACAACTTTTTCACAGGGGTCGCCTAAGACCATCGGAAAACACATATATAATTACATGCTGTTTTTGTGATTAATCACTATGCTTTAATTATGTTCAATTTGTAACAATGAAATTGGTGGTCACCACAACATGAGGAACTGTATTAAAGGGTCGCGGCATTAGGAAGGTTGAGAACCACTGTTGTAGAGCATAAGCTCATCCTTCTGCATTCTTTGATCTAAGAATAAAGTTTCTGCTCTGCTTTACCAAAGACAGTCTCGTTCTGTTGGTGCGAGTGACACTGAGCAAAAGGACTTTATTTTGGGGTCCTGACCCATAAGGATTGAAGACATTATTCTTTGGAGATAAAATTAAATCTCAGGGTCATTTCGTATAGTTGACGACTCTTCGGTATTTCTAATTCCTTTCTTATGTCTCTTTCAGTTGCTAGCCAAATAGAAGGGCTCGGAGACTTTTGCCAGAAAGGCAAAACTTTACTTCAAAAGTGGTATTCTAAGAGCCTAAACCCACCTAGCTATCTGAATTCTTCTGCCCCTGACTCAGGCCTGGTGAAAACAGAGTGCAGCCTGACCCAGTGATAACCCCATTAGGGAGTTTCTTTGGGTGCAAGCAGCAATTTAAGCAAACACGCCCTTCTGTTTTTTCTAGCGCTCTTTGTTATCGTAGCAAAATCCATGTTGGGTTTCACGTGGGAAATCAAACAGCCAAAGGCAGGGGACTTTTCATTATACGCAGAAATGCCACAGGATGCTTTTTACTCCCATTCAAGCAGTTATTATTTATCTCCTGGCTAAGGATAGAGAATGCCTGAAAAAGACATCAGTGTTAGATGGGCGGGCCTCTGCCCCTTCACCCAGAGGGAAGTTTCACAGGCCTGTTTGAAGTTTCAGGGCAAGTGTCACTCAGAAACCAGTGGGTCTGCATTTTCCTTTGCAGTTAAAGTACTCAAACAAGAGACATTGTTCCTGCTTTTAATCTGATTATAAATATCCAACTAAAGCAGTTAAGTGTTTAGAAAAGGTGAAGACCTGATATACGTAGGAGACGCTGAGTTCCTCTGTTGACACTTAACTAAGGTAGCCAAGGACAACGCAAGAAGTCATTTAGTGCTATTAATCAGTAATCTGAAAGCATTGTGTCTGCATGCAAATGTCTTTCTCTTGGCTGACGTCTGTGAATTGATCGTAGAGAAATCTGATAAAGATACATTCTTAAAGTACACAGCAAAATCCAAATGATTTCCATCAATTACAGCAGCTCCTTTTTGTAAGTCTCAAGCTTGATATTTTAAAACATTTTGGTTATCACCTTGCTTCAAAATGAACAATGTGCCTTTGTACCTATGGTTAAATTTCCACCTTACTTTCATCAAGATATTTGAGACCTAAAAGGCTTGATCCCCTACTTAAAAACTACCCATCGGTTTTTTTAAATAAAGATTTCATGCCCAAATAAGCTTTATTTCCCCCCCAAACTTTGTTCTATATTCCTGACCATTGAAAAGTGCTGCCATCTGCTGGCCACTGGTATGTACTACATAAACAGTTTGGGGTCCTTGAGGAAAGAACGAAGAAAAACCACACGCATTGTTCTAGAAGCCACTGAAATAAATTACAGTACACTTGCCTTTTAGAGTCGACCTTTAAATTATAACACCCATCTCTTCTCTTTCTTTCTCTCTTTTTTTTCTTTTTATATGAAGCCAATATGACTCAAGCATTGGACAATGTTGACTTGGTTAAAAAACAAAAAAGGCAAACATTTGCTGCCCCCTGCTGTTCAAGTTTCTTAGCGTTCCTGGTCTTTCTTTTGCTTGAACCTAAAAACAATGAATGTGTTTTTTTCATGAATGAGTGAATATAAGCCATACTATGCACCTATAGCCATGCTCTATGCTAGATGACTGGGACACAAAACGGACCGCTGTGACAAGGAAAGAAAAACGAACAATTTCAAGGCAAAATCACATGAAAATCTATTCTAGTGTCCCCAGAATCCATCGATTTGGTTGTACCAAATCTTTGATGCCAGGGCTTAATAATAGTCTGAGCTTGAAGACAGGGGGAAGGAATGGAAGGGGAGAACAGGCAAGGAGAGGAAGTAGAGAAGGAGAGAAAGGGCAGACACAGTGAACAGGATGTAATCCCGTCCTACCAGTCTGAAGGGGACAACTTGCTGCGCTTTTAAATAAAGGGCTAAATGAGTTTAATAGGAGTATCTTTCTTTTGGAGCAAGATTTGTATTTAACGCTTTAATTCTGGAAATTATTGTCAGATGGTCCAGAATAAAATGTTGCGTCCGGTGCAAGATCTCTGGGGAGGCCTATATAGCTCTGACCTCTGCTCCTATTGGCCAGCAAGAGATCTTTTCACAGTTTAGACAGATTTTCACAGTTTAGAGATATTTTCAGTTTGATCAGAAGCTGCCTCAGCGATCACCAATACTTCAGACCTTCTCTTCAATCCAGCCACTTGGAACTTAGGGCAATACCGTAGAGGTGCCTTATCTCCATGAAATATTATGCCTCAGCTTAAAACTTGACACTTACCTCCCCTCTCCTCCTCCCTCCCTCATTTACAGAGCTGACTGGGATCTGTCTTTCAGAACCCTGATTACCTCCTTTGGAAGTTCTTTCTGGATTTTCCCAATTTGATTAAAAACTCCCCTCTTCCATTTTCCCTCAGCATTTTGTAAATACACTAGAGGCCCGGTGCACAGATTTGTGGGGTCACGGCCTGGCCTGCGGGGGTTGGCCGAAATTGGCTCTCCAACATCCCCTGAGGGGTCCCGGATTGTGAGAGGGCTCAGGCCAGGCTGAGGGACCCCACTGGTGCACGATCGGGGCCAGGGAGGGACATGGGAGGGCTCCAGGGCATGTCTGGCCCATCTCACCCATTCCTGATCTGCTGGACCCCAGAAGCAAGCTAACGTACCAGTCAGAGCATCTGCTGCCTGGTGGTCAGTGTGCATCATAGCAACTGGTCAAACAGTCAGACACTTAGCATATTAGGCTTTTATTATATAGGGTTTTCCACTGCACTCTGTGAAATGGTTGTTTCATCACTAATAAGCTCCTCTCCAACCTCAACCTCCTTCCAGATCACCTGTTCCATCTCCTTGACTTTACTGAAACCTAGTCACCATTTCCCTCCACAGGTTTCTCATGGGGAGGCTGACAGGCCTCACCTGGGCCCATGGTGGAGGGTGGCATCCTCCTGGTTCCTCACTGCCAGTTCCAAATGGTTGCTTCCATGACCTCTATAAAACTGACTATTGTGAGGCTCTACCTCTCTGTGTCATCTCTGACCATCCTTGTGGCTTTGATTGCCAGGCCCTCCAGCAATTGAATCCTGAGTGACCACTGTCCTCTTCCTCGCAAGCCCTGAATGCAGAAAACACACAGAAGAAGAAAAAAAGAAATAAAACAGCT